GCTCTTTCCCCCCCCCCTGCCGCTGCTACTGCTGCTGCTGCGGAGGAGGTTGCAGGGGCTGCGGCTCAGGCTCCCGTTGCTCCTGCAGAGGCTCCTGAGGCTGCTGCTGCCGATGCTGTTGAGGCGCCTGCTGCTGCTGCTGCTGCTGCTGCTGCTGCTGCTGCTTACATTGAAAGACTTGGGGGGCATAAATCATAAAAGTGTGGGGTATTTTTGCTGCATATTTTTCTGGGTAATTTTAGGGCCATCAGGTGTACAGACACCCCAAGACCACTGGAAAGCCAGCTAGCTGCCGCTGCTGCTGCTGCTGCTGCTACTGCTGTTATTGCTGCTTCCACAAGAGCAGCAGCAGCAGCAACAATCCAAAAAAAGTCGTTTACATCAGTTTTTTGCAGCTGTTGCCGCCGCAGCTGCTGCTGCAGCACAAGACAGCAACAGCTGGCTGCGGCTTCTGCTGAGCAGCAGCAGCAGCAGCAGCTGGTGCTGCAGCAGCAGCAACTCCGATAAAAACTAGGCCTTAAATTAATAAATAAATATTATTTTATATTAATTTTAATTTAAATTGATTCAAAAAGGGACAAAGAAAGCCAAACTCGACAAACTGCGGATACACCCGGGGGGCTCCCGAGGTCCTGGGGGCCCCCCCTCTTCAGCACCTTTTTCGTTTATTTGAATTTATTTATTTACTTATTCCATTTATTTATTTTATTTATTTATTTTATTTGTTTATTTAATTTATTTACTTTATTTAGTTTTTTAATTTAACTCATTTATTATTTCCCCTATTCCACTTTTCCCCTTCGCCAAATTTCCAACGCCAGAAGGAGCAAAAGCCTATCTGCCGTTCCCATCAATCTCTCAACGAAATAAAGATAAATAAATAAACAAATAAAATAAATAAATAAAAATAAATAAATAAATAAAACAATAAATAAAATAAATAAAGTAACAGAGCTAGTTGGCTACAAGAGCCAAACCAAAATGGCGCCGCGAGGGCAAAAGAAACTGACTTATATCTAGGCCGCTGTGAGGGTTTAGGGTTTAGGGTTTAGGGTTTGAGGTTTAGGGTTTGGGGCGGGCTTGCGTTCTGCAGTTCGCAAGTTCCCTCTGTACAACTCAAAAGCCCGCCCCATTCACCCTAAACCCTAAACCCTAAACCCTAAACTCTAAACCCCTGCCTCCTCAGGAGGCTTTAGGGTTTACACTTTGCGAGGGTTTAGGGTTTTGAAACCCTTGAGCTCGAGCGACACTACTCCTACTACTATTTCCGCAGCAGCAGCAACTGCTGCTGCTGCTGCTGCTGCTGCTGCTTTTGCTACTGATACTCCTGCTGCAGCTGATGCTACCGCTACTCCAGCTACTGCTACTGCTGCTGCAGCTGCTGCTACTGCTGCTGCTGCTGCCGCTGCTGCAGCAGCCGTTGCTGCTGCTTCTCCCTTATGGCCGCTGCTTGCTGCTGCAGTCCCGAGCCAAGTGTCCCACCTGCAGCAGCACGAGCAGAAGCGCAGCAGCAGCAGCAACTTGTTATGCTGCTGCCACAACTTGAAACTCGATCTAGGGTTTAGGGTTTAGGGTTTGTTTACCTTTCCACACAGGTAGCAGTTTCTGTCTTGTCTGCCCATTTCCCTTCTCTCCGCTTTGCTGAGGCGCAGCAAACTCCAACAAACCCCAAACCCTAAACCCCAAACCCTAAACCCTAAACCCTAAGGGCGGCTGCCAGTCTCTGCGCGACCTTCCGCAAGTTCCACTGCGCCCAGCCCTAACCCGCAACCCCTAACCCCTAAACCCTAGACCCCAAACCCTAAACCCTAAATCAGGGTTTGGCTCACTGGGCCGCCATGACTTCGTGGTACCTCCCAGCTCTTTGATATCTAAACCTCTCAAAA